AATTTATTATTCTATACGAAAAACAACAAACGAAAATCTTGAGTTTAAAATAAACCAGTCATCCCAGCCTCGCTTCGATTAAGCATTTTGTAGGAGTTGCACGAAGAAAAAAAAAAACAGCGGGCCACCTCGGGGTCAGAAAGACTATAAAAAGGGTACGCGAGGCAGTATATTTCCCGCAATTATACAAAATAGTAACGGCGTATGTCAGGTCCTGCAATCAATGTCAGTTAATAAATGATATTAATTACAGCCCGGCCGGGTACTTAAATAGCATTCGCGCTACATTTCCGAATGAAATTTTAGGCATAGATCTCCTTGGTCCCTTCCCCCAGAGCGAGTTAAATAAAAATCGTTTTCTTTTAGTAATAGTAGATCATTTTTCAAAATGGATAGAAATTGTTCCACTTAAACGCGCGTCAGCCAAAACAGTCGCAGATGCATTCTTACACAGATACATTTTAAATACGGTGCACCGATAAAAGTCATTAGCGATAACGGAAAACAATTCATTAGTCAAATATTTGAAAAAACATATGCAATGGACTTGGCATACGCCATATCAAAATGGTTCCGTATAGACCACAGGCTAACATAGCAGAAAGAGTTAATAAAAACATAGTAAAAATAATTCGCAGTTACGTGAGCACACATCACAAGCGCTGGGATGGCTACATAAATGAATTAGCTTATGCTTTAAAGAACGGCACATCATGATACTACGGGAAAAACTCCAGCAGAATTATTTTTAGGCAGAAAGTTAATTACGCCTTTAGATAAATTATTCTTTGTGCAACAAAGAGAGCAGGAGTTTAAACAACAAGATGTGCAAAAGTTGATTGATCAGGCGCTTAAAAACCTCGGATACGGCAAGAAATAGGCAGAAAGAAACTTATTATGATAGAAAACGCCGTGAAGCAGATTTTAAAGTTGGGGATAAAGTATTTGAAGCGGAAATTTTCTTTATCAAGTGCCCCAGACTATTTTATGGCAAAGCTAGCTCCAAAGTTTGAAGGCCCCTATGTAATTCAGGAAATCAAAGGGGTAGTATTATATCTTAAGAACGACAGAGGCGAAATCTGTAAAGCAAGTCCCGACCAGGTGAAAAAATACTATAATCCAAATGATTTTGAAATCCTTAAAAGTTTCTTGCAGGACTCAAGTCTAAACGAAGTAGAAGAATCAGAGACTACAACAACTATTCCACCACCCAAGAAACAGAGAACTGAAGAGAGACCTAGCACCTTCTACAACCCGGACGTCGGTATCAAAAAAGAAAAAATGATTTTCAAACTCCGGCGTTTAAGAAAAAAACAAAAAACAGATGAACCGGGTAAAGAAACCGTGGTAAAGACGAAAACACCACCTACAAAGGATGGCAGGAGAAATTACACATCAAGGAGAACGCGCCACGGCCACAGAAGTCAGGGTGCCAGCAAGGCCGCCGTTCCGGAAACTGAAACGACAACAGGAGGCACAAAAAATACGACGAACAGAAGAAATTCAAGAAGGACTCCAGACCGGAGGGACGTCAACACCAGCCGTCCCAGGCAGAAACGCAAAGGCCAACAAACCAGACGATTACTCCGTCAAGAGGCCAGCATGTAGAGGACGCAAAAGAAAAAGCAACGTGGACGACACTCGAAGGATCAATAAGGAGAAGATTGACATCCATGAAACCTCTAACTTGGGATCAATTTTTGCCAAAACGGATGACGGAGTTTCAAGCATCGAAAAACTCAAAGATAAGTTTAAAACCTTCTATAAATTTTTCTTTCTTGTTTCGTTCCGAAATGTTATGCATAAGTACGAAGTTCTATGTTTTGACGAAAGTCAATATGTCTCGGTTGAGACTTAGTTTTGTTTTACTTTAATTTGCTAAGGCAAAAGTATTATTTTCTTTAAGTGTAAAAGCTAAAAACAAGCATTTTCTGTTGGTCGAAAGACTAATTCTGTTATGTTAAAGCCAAAATTTGGCCGGAGATAAAAATAACTTCGTATTCTTGTATTAATAAGAATTTTAGTTTCAGTGCCGCCAGCTTGGCGAAGAATGAGTAAAGTAAAAATTTATTTTCTCTTATTCATTTTATGGTAAATTGTAAAAAGCATATGTATTAAACTTTTGTAAATGTATGTAAATACTTTCATGTTATGTAAAAGTAGAATTTAGTCTAGAAGCATAAAATTGTAGATGCTAAAAGTGAATGCTAAAAGCAATGAAGTCAAAATTTAAGTAGTAAATGTAGATAAAGTCATGCTTTAGAGCGAAAGCCTGCATGTTTAAAGATGAATGAGGGGGAAGTTAGAATGAATGTGTTTTGTAGGGTTCTCCACCTACATTTGAATTTTTAAGAATTAAAGTAGCTCATTGAGTTGTAGAATGTCGAGTAAGGTGTGTCTATTTGGTCGTTGAATTCTAACAAATCATGGTGGTTAGGGGAAGTGTTGTAAGACTAAAACACGAATATTCCCGTTTGACACCACACACGGTGGAGAGCCAGGTGTAAAGTTAAATTAATGCTTTGAAAAATTTGAATGAATGTGAAGTAAGCAATAACTAAGAAAAACGAATCGTTTAAAAACAAAAATTTATTGTGTCAAGAAAGTGTAAATTATAATGTATGTAGAAAGATACTGATACTTATTCCTTCCAGATGCTGGAAGGAAAGACCAAGATTGATTGATGAAGTCCAGGAAAAGTTGCTGCTGTAAGAAGAAAGCTTTGTAACGAGCAACAGAATTTTAATATATAATTGTTACATAAGATTTTTTTTTTTTTTTTTTTTTTTTTTTGTGTAAACGAGGTTCTCCCCAGTTAGTTCAGAATTAGATTAAACTTACAACAGGTCGTTTGTAGGACCTGCTTCCAAGTTTTCCAAATTCTGGCAGCGGCAAATGTAGGGTTTATATTTATTTTAACTAACATTTATTTTAAGTTTAAACTATCTTTCCTGTCAAGCCTTACTTTCCCCTGGAACTGCCAATGCCAGAATATGTAAATTTGAGTAGAACGCGCAAGCATTTTATCAGCGGAAGTATTATGATTTAAATAGAGAGGAAACAAGTTCGGTGTGAGATTCTTACTTAGCGAGCGCGGAGGTAGTTAGCGAGAATTGAAGAACCCCGCGTTGCGGCCTATGTGCTTGGCGGGAAGTAGAATAATCGTTCCAGTGAGCTTCAAGTCTGCTGAATTAGCAGCGGTATTGTGAAACGCGGTGAGTTAGTTATTTTAGAGAGCCTCGTAGTTAGAATCTTGTCTTTACTTTCTTTTCAGATTATTATTTTATTTGACTGCCTGCCAAGTTGGCACAGTCTGTGAGCGTCAAGAGCACGCAATTGTAATTTTATTACGTTGAATAAAAAGGGACTTAAACCCTTCACAAGGCTCTATCTTTTATACAAGTTTTCACAGTCACCTCTTGGTTGCGTGCAAGTTGGAGGCGCGCAACGTTATAAGTTATTACATTATGTCAGCTAACATAAACGATATTTTGTAATTATAAAAATTATCTACTTACATACTAACTCACCTTTTTTTTTAGTCTACAAAGATGTGCTAAAGTTTATCATTTAAGATTCATTACTCCTTCTTCAACAATTACACGAAGATGCGGGTCAACAATAAAAAAACTTTTACGAATAAGATGAACTTAGTTCAGGGAAAAGAAAAATTAAAGGATGATCATGAAAACATAATTTCGAAACAATTTAAATACTTAAATGAAAATGCTGATTTCCGTCGTCACTTGCAAGATACTGTAACGCACTATTAAATCAAACTGACGCATATATGATTGGAATACTATCCGTACTTCTTAAGGTTCAGCACTTCAGAACTAGCCATGCTAACATATGCGCTGATTTGAAATCGATTAATTGTCGAGTTAAGAATGATTGATGATACTGAAAGTGTGATAAAAAGCATATCTCAATATTTTTGCGAAATTTTCATTTTTCATTTTTTTTAGCGAAGAAATGGTTATTTTCATGTTTCGTAAGCAAATAAAATTTGCTTTTTAGCCCTATCAGTCACTTTTTCCCAAACGTCGTTTCAAGAGTAAGAATGCTGTTCGTGTCCATAATGAAACTGATAGGTTGTAAGCATTTAATTGTAAGGTTAATATTGTTCCTTGATATAATCGTTATTAATTTTACAAATCTGAAATAAAATTTAGATATGCAAATAAGTTCAATTAATTCTTTAAGTACTTCTTTATTTATCCTCTGCTGAGTTTTTTCACTGAGTACAAAATAACTGTTGCAAAAAAAGCATGAAGCTCTCTACACATAAAAGCACACCTTAGAAAGGAAACCTTGCACTAGTTTATAAGTAAAAAGGTAAGATCTAATGCATTTACTTATTTCGTTTTTTAATAGTTTACTCAGTCGTGTGCAAAATATTCTCATTTTTGTGAGGTAAATATAAAACTTTGATGAGTGCAATAATTCTCGAATTCTTTACTTTAATTTGTGATAAAAATGGCATCTTTTTTAAAAGTTCTTTTAAATTTTTATTTTGGTATTTAATATTTTATGAACAAAGACTTCTAAATTTTTTATTTATCCTCCACTGAGTTTTTTTCACTGAGTATAAAATAACTGTTGCAAGAAAAGCATGAAGCTGTTTACGCATAAATGCAGACCTCAGAAAGAAAACCTTGCACTAGTTTATAAGAAAAAAGGTAAGATACTTGCACTGCTTTATAAGGCCTTTTACTTGTTTCCCTTTCAATATTTTACTCAATCTTAAGCAAATATGCTCATTCCTGTGAGTTAAATATAAAAATTTGATAAAATTTGTGTAATAATTCTCTAACTCTTTACTTTAATTTGTGATAAATATGGCACCTTTTTTAAAAAGGTTTTTTATATTTTTATTTTGGTATTTATCATTTAATAAATAAAGGCTTCTAAAATAATAGATAAATATTAATTCCTTCTCTTGCTATTCAAAATATCAAAATTTTATTAAAAACTCTCAATTGTATTAAAAGACTTACTTTAGTACACTGATGAGCCATCTATAATTATTAGACAAATATCTTATAATTTTATAAATAAATGCAATATTTTATGCTGCGTTGAGTGAAAACATCTTCATTTTCGATATCTCCCATAATTTGAACGAAATGAAAATAAAAATGTAACATTTGAAAGAATCTTATTAGCTACATAGAAAGTCATGCAAATTATTGAACTATAATTCTTAATTGATAATTCCAGTCTTAAACAGTTGAAAAGACCAAGTTTGACTGACCTTATTGTAAAAGGCGAGGTTGCGTATTCAAAGCGATAATCATGTTTTAAAGTAGAATTTTAATACTTTGCTATTAGTAAATCACATCACAAACTCTCAAAACTTCTCGAAAAACATTAAGTAAATGAAAATAAATGACATAACAAATAAATCGTAAAACACCGCAGATCTGAATTTGCTTTTATTAAAAATTTTAAAAGCATATTTAAATCTCTAAATTAGTTTCTCTTAACACACATCTGTATAATTTTCTTTTCAGGTTCGATATGGAGGACACACTTGGATAGAGTACACACTGTATTTTTTTAGCCCAAAATGTGTTAGCCCAGAAGGGCTATTAATTTCATTTTGGCATTTTGCGTCGAAAACTTTGTAAGGATTATGTTAACTTCTATAACAGTTAAGTTTTGAGTTAAAATTCCTTTCCTGTCTTCCTGAATTTCAACTCACAACTTCCGGCCAGAACGTAGTTTTAGAATCACGTTTGAATACAAATGAGGAGACGTATTTAACCTTTAGAATTACTGTCTTCGTGAGAGAGAACCAGTGGTTCTCACTAGCGCGAGTTCACCTTCTTAGGCTATTCTCTCTTAAGCTATTATCACGCTCGGCCATACTTTAGGCCCTTGATAGCTTCGCCGTTATTCAGCATTAAGGGGCCAACTCTGTTAGAATCTTGATAGCTTCGGCTATATCTTTTTAGTTAAGATTAGTTAAGTTTTAGTTCTTAGTTTCCTAAGTTCAAGTACGAGTGGAGGCTTTATTGCAAAACTTCAAGACGGAGTTTTGTTAAACTTTATTGGAATAATAATGGGTAATTTTCCCCTTCTTAAGTGTTGTTCTCTATCTCACGAACTCAAGCGATTATTCGCTGATTAGTTCTTAAGATTCTTCAATTGTAACCTAAAAGTACACAGCACAAAATCTTACAACTTTAAATGTCCGTTTCAATTTTTAAAATTCTTGCCACCAAATATTATCGCCCTGTGTTATATTTAAAGAAATTAAATGATGAAAAATCTGCATAAATGTATGTATCTTTCTCGCATTGTGATAAAACAACGGTACCTAGAGCCATCAAATTTTTAATAAGGTAATCCTTCACAGAATATGGGCATCTGGAAGTTGGAATTTCTTTTATTATCGATGTCATATTCTGTAACATTCTGTAACGAATTTTTGATTAACAAACTCGCCGATTTCAAAGCGAGCACTGGCAAAACTGTATGGAAAAAAAACCTTTCTATCTCCAGCGCGCGAGACTGTGTATCGGAAATTCTAATTCATTTTAAAATTATTTTGAGAGACTGCTGTTGAATTGAATTTTGTGGTTTTAGTGAGAAGAATATGATATTTAATAAATAAAAGTAACACACAAAACGTTAAAAAAAAACGTCCTTTTAAGCGTAATGTAAAATTTGAAAGCTTTCAGATTTTTTTTTTTTTTTTTTTTTTTTTTTTTTTTTTTTTTTACTTTGCCCTTCATTACTGCGCTGATAAACAAAGGAATATTTTTCCAAGTCCTAATTTTCTTTCACATAAAAATTGAAACACTTTGTCTCACACCAAGTTAGCATAAACTGAATTTACAAATTAGACTGCAGTCCTTCTCTCATCTTGTAAAATATCCGTTTTTTATCTACATTACTGCAAAGACATGACAAATAATCTGGTGCGGTGGTTGGCAACCTTTTCCCCCCCGCCCACCAGCGGCTGAGCGGTAAAGTCGCTAAACACTGGTAGTTCGGTCCGAGGTTCGAATCCCGCGAACGGGCTGGCTGCATGGGTGTTTTCGTGGTTTTCCCCATGTGTAACGTGTATACGAGCCAGTTTCCCTTAGAAAGTCCTCCACGAAGGCATCCCTCCCCTTAGGCAGATAGCCCTAGTGTGCTTTGCCATAATTAAATACACCATCACCACACCACCTTTCCTCCCCATACACGCTTTCACCATTTGTAGAAGATCATTCCCTCCCTCCTTTCGTAAACTTGAAAAATATATCTATACGTTTATTTAGATTATTTTCTAAGGTTGTTTTTAAAAGCTAAACAACAAAAAGTACAGAAAATGTTGGTAAATACCAAAACTTTAATAAAAGTAGGTGTTTATATTCATAAACTAAAGTTAAATACTTAACAGCTAAATAAAAAATTAGTCGCATTCACCCTGAAACTATGAAATTTCTCCCTTATTGAGAACAAACTCCTGATCTAGTGCATGACTTAAAAAAAGCATGGCAACAAAAGAGTTGAATCTAGAATGCTTAAAAACTGTTCACGGTTATCAAGCTTTTTCGATCTAACTTTGAATGCTTTGAGAATATTTAATTGTTTATGCTCCGAAATTTCTTAGAATTTGTATTGTTTTATTTCATAACTACCTAGGTAGAAAAAACTACATAATTAGGAAACACTTCTGTATAAATTTTGTTGACAAGCTTTCATATGGCAAGCATATATTTATTTCGCACTTATTCTTTCCCGTATGAATTAATTTGTATTGCAAATTCAGAATGTCATTATGCAATTTCCAAAAAGTTATTTTGGATTTTAAACTTAAAATATGTTTAGTGTTTCGGCTATCCATATCAAGAAGTTGAAATTAGACATGCCTGATCTGGACAATAAATAACAAAATATATTTTTTGTATATATCACATTTTTGCTGAACCTAATTGTTTGGAAAACCTATTTCACTCAAACAATCATTGAAAGAAGAGATTCATTGAGTAAAATCTGGAAAATAATTTAACAATGTTTTAGAAATATTTTCAATAGAGATCATTGGTAGCTAAACGGTTAAATATAACACATTTCTGATTCAATGTCCATTCTCAAGAGATGCAGCAGACTTTCACATTGTTGCACTTCATGCAAAAAAAAAAAAAAAAAAAAAAAAAAAAAACATATTTCCGAATTACTCTTGATCACTCCTTGCATCTGCAGTCAAGTGAATCCAAAAAAGAAAAAAAAAACGAATTTTGAATCGTTGTTAAGAACAAACATCAAAATCAAGTCATTGATTAAGCTTGTTTCCCCACAGAGACGTGAATATTAACAGTGACTTAAAGCCAATGACGCATTTTCCTTATGATAACTGTGTAAGGATTTTAAGTTTTATTAACGTTTATTTTATTTTAAAACTTTACTGTCCTCTCTTATTTTCCACTTCCGGCCAGAATAAACGCAGTTAGTTTTAGTTATGTAAATTGAACTTGCAATATGTTAAGTATTTAAGCTGTGGCTTTTAGCCAAGAATGAGTTAGAGAGAGAAATTTCTCACTACCTCACCTCACGCGCGCTTTTCTGTCAGTTGCTGTCCGCCTTTAAGGCCAGAGTTTAGTCCTCTTGATACTGAAGACTTGTTGTAGCTTTCCCGCATTCTGCGTACTACATATGTAAAGATTAAAAGGCCAATCTTCGCATTACTAGTCTTTATAAAGCATTTGAGTTTAGTTCTTACTTAATTTAATTAGTTTGCGGTTCTTATTTTTAAGTTTCAGACTATAAGTACTGGTCTTTGTATCCCGAAGTGCGGAAACAGTTATAAACTGTGAAGAATAAATAGTAATTAAATCCTTCACATTTGTGTCATATCGTCTACAGTTGCAAAGAACACAGTTTTAAGTAAACTACCTGTTCTACTCAGGACTCCAGCATGTTCGCAAAGTCAATAAGAAGAAATAGTAGTCCTGATAGTGGCGCCCGAAGAAGAAGACATATGGCCGACGATCAGGAAGAATTTGATGAACCTGTATCATCGGCTCAGAATCCCAAACTGCCAGCTGCCAGCCTAGAAGGATTTGGCTTCATCGTCCAGACCATGCGGGCAGCAATGAAGCCGGCGGCAAGCTTCGATTGGAATTCACCGGTGAACAACGTTTTGAAGAAATTAGATGCCCATTTTATGTTGTATCCAGTTTACGAATTTCAGAAAGTCATCTTAGCTACCAGCGCTTTGAGGGGTCAAGTGCTTAATTGGTTCGAGGGCATCAGAGAAAATCTTTTGAGTCAAATGGGAAGTCCCACCCATACTTATGATAATTTAAAATCTGCTTTACCCTTCCCGGTAGTAAGGAATCGAGCCAAGTTGGAGGCGAAACTCTTTAGTATATACCAGCAAAGAATTGAGGAGCTGTCCAATTTTATTTAGAAAAAAATACAAGTGTTTAAACTGTTGTATGGAAGCCGGCCATCTCCTGAAATAATCCAGGTGATTTTCCCTAAGTTACTTCCACAGATAGAAAACTTTATTGAATTAAGGAATCCTACGACGTTAGAAAGGTTATTTGAGCTCGCTATCCAGTTTGAAAGCAGAAGAACGGCGGACAACGAAAGAAGACGCCAGTACGAGCAACGAAGCCAATTTGGTGCTCCAACGCCACAGCGGAGGCAAGATCACGGATACGGAAGCAAGTCGAATCAGTGGTGAAAGAACCGGCGAACGTCGACAGTTCAATAGTTAAAAAAAAAGTATGAAGGTTAGCGGAAAAAGAATTCTAATCATACTAATTATGTGCAAATTTTTCTCTGTACCAGCTTAAAGATTGATCTCCCAATCGCAATTTTGTATTTTTTCCCCCATAATCTTTTAATTAAACTGTCTTGTGTTTTCTCTAAATTTGTTCCTGCCAGATAAATCAGTTGTATCTGCAGACAACAGAATGTTTTCTAATTGAAATATTCTTCAGTTTTTTTATGTAGGATGGGGCATGAATATCTGGCACTTTTTCATTGTACTTCTGGGAATGGGGACACATAAGTA